ACAGTTAGATAGACATAAAGACAGACAGACAGAGAGAGAGACAGACAGACAGACAGACAGACAGACAGACAGACAGACAGACAGACAGACAGATAGATATAGTTATATACAATACAAAACTGTAATAACAGTAATAAAATATTTTCACTGGGATTTCTTTAGTCGTCCTGAAAGCTGCATGTCATGTACATAAAATGCTTTGGTATAGTTCAAGTACCATTGAAAATTCTGTGTAATTTTCTTCTTCAGCTGTATAATAAAATGGAAGGCAGGACACCTTTTCTAGTGACCAGAGAAAAAGTATCTTACATCTTAAATTATTTTAGACATAGTGCATGAGATGTGTCACTCACATCTGTTATTTATTTATATTTTTTATTCAAAGTGTATGAACTTTTAAGAAATAGAATTTATAGTTTTATGCTTAAAACCTTTTGTTTGTGGCATGACAGTTATTGTATAATACACATTTGGGATTAAGAGGAAAGTGGAAAATGTAACAAAATATAATGGATTTATTACATAATGCCTACAGAAAAATTAGCAAACAGGCATCTCTCTCAGCCCTAGGCTCACTTCCTAGGAGATCAGCAATGCCTGAAGCAATTCTGAGCCTTTTCCAATGGCTTTGACAAGTCTCAGACATTCCTTGGATGGCCCCTCTTGGGCACTGTGCTCAACCTTGACTCTGCTGCACTGACCGTGGGAACTGGGTATTTCACCAGCACAGAACAAGCCCATTACCAAAGCTACCAGAACAATAGAGTCTACGGTCTGGAAACATTTATTACATATCTATAATTGGATATAAAACTAAATGATAGGAAAATATGGTTGAAGAAATATTTAAAGTTATTATGCTCTTTGAAATTACTCATATTTAAAAAGACATATTTATTCCTCAGCAATTAAACTAATCAACAATGACATGTCTAAGTATTACATTTTATTTGGTAGCTATCTCAATCTTTTATTTGAATAAATTTCATAAAATATAGATGATTTGAAGTAATAAAATTTGTGCTGTTTAAAAAGCATTAGAAATTAATTATGTTGCTTACTAAAAACAGTAAGAGTTTGGCTTTCTTTTTTACCGATTCCTGTTTTATAACATTACCCTTCAGAATCTCACAATCTTGCCATAGCACTCTGCTTTGTAGCTTTTAACACTTAAGGAAACATTCTCAGTAGGAGTCATTGGATTTCAAGAAAATGTCTTGCTAAGAAAGTTCATTCAATTTCCAAACACTAATCCTTAAGCAGATGAAAATAAACACACCACTTAGAACACAATTGGAATTTTGAAAGCAAAATAAGGAAACCTATTATTAGTTCTTTAAGGTACACTTTTACTATAGACAGTTCACTAGCAGAGTGAGACCTTAAAAGATAGACCAATTTGGAAGAGGAAAATGTTTGCAAGTAGAATTTGTCTTGACATCCTCTAAGTCATGTCTGGCTATAATATATTGGAGTATTATGTTCTGGTTAAACTAAGATTGCTGAGATACTTGACACAATCCAGAAAAGAATATACATTTGTACATAAGGATATAATGGATGGCACAATGCATTAGAATACCTGTGTGAAACTCAGTTTATTTATTTTTTCCCAAATATTATTGAGAAAAAAATAGCAATGAGACAGTTTCAAATCAAATTGGTAGGACAGTTGCAATGATTAATACATTGCATACTCTCTTCCCGGTGGTTATCTGCTGTACAAGATGCAGACATGATATGCTATTTACAAACACCATTAGAACAAATCCATCTATTCATTAAGAGAATATATCTATCCTCACCATTTTGAATACACGGATACAAAATGGACATTGATCTGTATCGACTTTTCTGTTTAGTTCCATCATTTGAATATTATAGGTGTGTTAACTGAGCAAAATATTTTAAAGAGTCCAGTAGTCCATAATAGTATTGGGTCTTCCACTTGAAGGACAGTGTCAGAAACTGTTGACAAGAGTCCCCTACAGCTGAACATAACACCATGGCTTCACTTCTTATACTTTGTTTTTATACTTTGCTGCTGGTTGGTTAAGACCAAGATAAAGCAAGACCTATGCAACAAAAGTTGTAGCTTTTGGATCTGATAAGGTCGGTCAAATCCCCTCAGGATTTATCCTGAGATAACTGTACCTCAGATTGTAGATCATTTTTCAGTGTCAGCCATGTGGATGAGTCATGGCTATTGCTTGGCCAATGTGCTCTCTGTGAAAGCCTGAGAGAATGTTTTCTCTCCATGTGACTCTCCTTAGCACACTGTACATCATTGATCACTTTCCTCTTTGGCCCCATAATCTCCTTGATCAGAAAATTTGGGACACTACTGAGTTACATGACATTAGAGTACAAGTTCTTATAT